CAAACGCATCCGCAACCAACGGGGCCGGGCAGCAGAGGCGCCTTGCCAGGCGTAACGCGCTCTCAGCGCAAGCGGCAACACCCAGGGCAGCCCTCGCTGCACGGAGCCGCCCCTCGGCACGTCGCCCTGAGCCCACCACCCTCTGCTCACCTGTAATCCACGTACTCCTTCTTCCAGGAGTCCGGCGTGCTCTCGTTGGGCTTCCCGTGCTTGTCCAACAGACCCTTCTGGATCATCATCTTCTTCTGGCTGGCCTGAGAGCAAAGCGCAAAACCTCACGTTGCAGCCCCAGGCCACAGAAACCCGGCCGCGCCTCGCAGCCCCCCGGCCGGCGCAAGAGCGGCCGTGCCAGGAACAGGCCAAGCCAACAAGTACGTTGTTGCTGATGAGACACTTGCCCAAGGACCTCCTGACAATTAACAGAAAACATCTCCTGTGCAGCAGCCTCCCACCACCCGCCTCCACCCGCCCTGAGCTTCTCTCCTCAGTAAACAACAGCTATGTTGGTGGGGGCAGCAATGAAGCCAGAGAAAGATGACTCTGCCCAGCACTTAGCTTGCCTGCCCTCGCATCCTTGACCAGCTTTCTGCCACGCTGCAGCTGCACCACTGCAACTGCTGCGAGATAAGCGCGTGCGCACCCCCAGCGCTTTCCGCCCTCCTCCCGAACCAGGGTCGGGTCAGGAGCCACGGCAGCTTCACACCGCGCTCGAGGCCTGGGCCGCATCACGGGCTGAAGGGCAACAAACGCCAGGCTACGTGCAGCTAGAGCTGACTACTGCTACACACCTGCCTGCTCCCACGATCACCAGCTGCCTGAGAGAGGAGACGGATCCCACGCGCACAACCTGCAAGCGGCCTTCCTCCTCCTCCTGTCCCCTGACCTCCTGCTCCCTTCGGGCCCCTCCAGAGCCATCAGCATGGGGTGATAGATGAAGGTCATCTCTGCACAGAGTGCTCCTGCCATCTACGTGACATCATTTGGCTCTTCGCAGAAGGAGGGCTCACGCACACACCTCAGCGGCCCAAGTCCAATCACTGGCCTCAGCCCAGTTCCCTGGCACAGCTCAACCCACAGGAGCAGGGAAAGCCGTTCTCTCCACCGGCACTGAGCCCACCCGACCCCGGCGCTGGGCAGTACCACAGTACCACCGTCGCGGCTCCAGAGGAGCTCCGGGGCATTACAGAGAAGCCCAGGAGAAGAGGTGGGGCAGAGCTCTGCCCAAGGGTGCCCGAGCCCAACAGGGGTGCCCAACAGCTGGGCCCCCCTCTCCTCCCCAGCGTCCCACACAGCACCACAACCCTGCTCACCTTGGGACCGAGGCCCCATTTGCGGGGATACGTGTCTCTCTCCATGATCACTCTCTTGATCTTCGCCACAACTCCATGGTCACAGGTGGAAATGACCGCGGTGGTCATCAAGGCAACCGCTGCAGAAGCGGGCACAGAGTCCACAGACACTTTAAAACGCAGCCAAGCACAACAGCTCGGATG